GCGAAATTCATTAACTCAGTGGGGGTGAAAGATGCCCTCTCATAACTGCTAAGTATTTTTAATTCTTTTCTAGATTATACGGAAGAATAAGGAACCTTTATTCTTCCGCAAATATATCCATAGGATTAGATCCATGGGCACTAAGTCAGACGGCCTCTCGGCGGCCAACGGCTGGGATCTTGGTTAGCTATCCAATTATTCTTGAAATTGGCTGCAAAAATTTGCTGATAACTTCAGCGTTCAGAGGCGGTGCGTCGTCTTGCTGGATAAATATGTTTTCGAATTCCATTAAGGGCATATTATCAATAAGGGGTCCAAAGCGTACTAGTTAAAAGTGGCGAACTTTTAAAAATTCTGTATTTCGAAGGGGATTATAACAAAATATCAAGTGTGCTATAGTTTTGGAAAGGTAATTTTAAATTCTTTTCAGTTAATTAAATATATAGAGGGTGTCCCAAATAAAAAATCAATTTTTCTGTTGATAACTCTTAAATTATCGATTTTAAAAAAATTATACTTAAACCATTAAATTCTACGTAAAAAGGTGCTTTGGAAATGTCTTCATAGAAATACAAAATTTTTCATAGCAAAAAAGGTACAGCGATTTGTTAAAAATACACATTTTTGAAAAACACACCGTAACTCCCAAACGGTAACAGATATTGATGTGCGGTTTTCACCATCATGTTTTTGATGAAAATTGAGCTTCAGACACCTATATTAGTTTTCGTCTATCTCCTATAGAAAAGGGTGTTTCCATTTAAAAGCGTCGAATTTGACCCACCCTGTACATAAATACTTAGATATATCTTCCTTATTTTTTTATTCAAAGCAATACGATAATCTCTTATTATTAGAGATATAGATATATGAACAAAATTTGGTATATAGTAATAATAATAAATAAATGTCTTTATATTTCCCAAATGAAATTATTACAAAAAAATAACAAAAGAAAAATAAGACGCTGATACATAATCTCTGTGGTGGTAAAATTGACCACTCTGTATATAATACTATAATAAAAGAAAAATATTTTGTAATCTTAATTATGAGAGTACCAATTACACAATGACAAATATAAATAGTACTTATGTACTTAATATTAATTTTAGAAAATATGAACAAAATACATAATTTGGCATTAGAATAATATTTACATATTTCGGTTGTTAAAATTAAAACCTTGCAAGTAATTTAAAAGTACAAGCAACAGTGGCGAACAAAAGATGTGTGTATACCATTTGCAATTCGAAAATAATCCTGGATCAGCTGATGTATGGTGATTTCCGTGAAAATGTACAGTACATTCGTATCTAGTCGATAAAGTTGTACTCTCACTCTTTTGTTCAGTATGTAACATCACAGTCTGCGGCTATTGTGACGTCGTTCTTTTTTTGTAGGAAAATTACTAACTATCTTTGATGTGTTATCATAAAATCAGTAACATTAAGTTCTAATTAATATGGGATGAAATTAGTAGTCCATATACTTTTCCGATAAAATTTAGTATTTTTCTTCAATCAGTTGGATAATAATTTTTTATGATTGCATAAATCTTTTATTACCGATAATTCTTCGTCCTACATATAAACATCGATAATAATATAATAACATCCATAAAGAGTGTTCAATAATGCTTGTAAAATAGTTGACATTGTCTTTAATGTTGACATTTTTTCGACTTGTAGGTAGCGTGGACCTAAGTCGCAATAGTCTAAAACGACCTACACACGTAACGATTTATCGTACTGCATGCAGTACGATATCCATCGAAATTGCCGCATTAACGATAAATCGTAGCGTGTGTAGGGAAATTGGATGGTTTGCAGTATGCAGTCGTCAAATCGTTTGCAGTACGGAGCTTCCGTAAAATATCGTATCAACGGGTCGTGTCTGGGGTGGGGTTTGAACGCAAGTCTGAACGTGTGGAGTGTATTCCCTGCCACAGCGCGCAGTTAAGATATAATTTTTATTTATTTTTGGTTTAATCAATATTATGGATTTAAAAAAGAAGACGTTCTGAGAAGACTTTATTGATTTATATAGAGAAAATAGATGCCTATGGGATTTTTTACACCATTTTCGCTTTCTGATTTCTTTTTGTTCATCATCTTCATCTATCAGCAATACCGCAGCTACAAGCACGGCAGCTTTTTTCTTTGAAATTCTTGACATAACGGTAGCCCTTCTCGACGAAAAGTGAATAATCTGAACTGCGGCAGTACAATGTGTTGCATCGTGTGTACAAAAACTGGCTGTACTGCAAGCTGTACGATTTTTCTTTACGATCTGCAGTTCAACGCGCAGTACGATAAATCGTTACGTGTGTAGGCCATTTAAGAGCTAGCAACGTTTTCGAGAAAGTATTTTAAGACGTCTGGCTCTTTGATATATATTTTACTATGCTCTCTGGAACAGCATACGGCCCGTCTGGCTGCCGATTGCTACTGCTCATCGAAAGAAGATTCTATATTTTTTATTAATTTAGTCCCATAAATTCTAGTATTGAATATAAATCGAATATGTCTCCAAGCGCAGTGCGTAGAGTTTCCGACCACGAACCGAAGATTCAGAGTTCGAATCCGGGTAGATCAAAGACTTTTTTATTTTATTTTCGTTTATATTCTGATAGTAAAGTATTAAATAATTCTGGCAATTAAAAAAAAACAAATATTTAATACTTTACTATCAGAATATAAACGAAAATAAAATAAAAAAGTCTTTGCCCTGACCCGGATTCGAACTCCGAATCATCGGTTCGTGGTCGGAAACTCTACGCACTGCGCTATGGAGACATGTTCAATTAATATTCATTACTAGAATTTAAAGGACTAATAAAAATATAGGATCTTCTTTCAATGCGCAGTAGAGAACGCAACGTTTACCGGCAGCCAGACGGGCCGCATGCTGTTTTAGAGAGCGTAGTAAAAAATATATAAAAGAGTCAGACGTCTTAAAATACTTGTTTTTCCGACGTTGCTAGCTGTCGTACTATAAAGAAGGAGCCAGAAGCGTCATCAATATTTTGCCGATGAACAAATCAAATGAACGTCTTCTCGGCATTAGACAGTGTTTAGTTTTATGATTTTTCAGTGTTAGTTTTCGAGATATTCCGCCTCGAAGATCCTCCAAGTCTTCACGCTCCGAAAATATTTTTCATAAGCGTATCATTGATTGATAGGACAAATTGTTTAATAATTCGGCTAAAATTTGAATCAACAGCTCTCACATTTTGGAACTTGTTTGAATTTTGTCATATTTTATGATAAAAAAAACCGGGCAAACATTCCTCGACCCAAAAATTTTCAGATTTTTACGAACTTATTCATATTTTCACTAATAATAGCTTATTTGTCAATATTTGTCAAGTTTTTAGAGTCTCTTTAAGCAACTCAGAAAATTTGAAGTATGTATTCACATTTTAATAAAAAACAACTATTTGTGAGTGGCTTTTCCGCCACTCACTCAGAAAATTGCCTCTACATGCCATAATTCGGCCAATATTAGCGGAAAACCCGTTCTTTGACCCTTTAGAGTCGTTTTTAAGCGTTTCCCGGCACTTTACATGAAAAAGTGTCAGGACCTTTTTTGTAGATAATGAGCTAAGCGTTATTTTTTCAGGAAAAATTTTGTAAATTGAATATTTTGGGAGATATCTGCGAAAAATATTTTTTCGGCCGAGGCTGGCCGAGCACGGTGTTTAGTATGGTTTTTTTTTCAAAAACCAACCACAACAAACAATTTTTTTCCAAAAGGTACCCAACCCGCCTGAAAAGTCCCAATCGACAAATTAGGCCGAGACTTGGGTCGTTTTGTGTCTTTTTCTATTTACTGGACTATAAAAATATTTATGCTCGCGCTCATGGATCACCGAACTGAGTGATAGATATTGAAAGGACTTTCAAAACTAATTTTTTCAGTTAAGTTTCACTTTTTAGTTATGTACTGCCATTTATATCTGCGTAATACCGGGTAATACACGAGTACATCAGAATATTTCATAGCTCATATGCTAATTATAAAAATTCTTCTTTAACAACTTGTTGTAATTTTGTAGATATTCTATGTTCTATGTTTCGCGCAATCAGATCAACGGAAGATGTCTAGACCAACTGAATGTTTTCAACTAGCAATATGAAATGCGCGAACAGCAGCGTTGTTTTAGATCTTTGTTTTTAACTTCCTCAGGTCGATGATAATGATGTTTTACATATTCTTCTTGGCAATGTTAGGCTGACTAAAGATTATAACTCGGCAAACTGTACGGTTTTCAGACCTGAGTCTACTAGGGTTCCCGACTTGAGCATCGGCGATTCCGGGACTATTATTTCTAAGCTTTTAAATAATTGAAACAAAACCATTAAATTATTAGAAATTCAAATATATTATATGTAAATGTGATTTTTTTGGTCCCGGCCAAGGCAAAATTTTCGCCGGGACAAACTTTCTGATTCCTGGTTAATCCCGGTCAAACCGGGACGGTTGGGAACCCTAGAGTCTACTAACAGGGCATTGTAAAATAAGCTCAATGGGCATTTTAGCTCATGGAATAGATGGACAAAGCCATTTGCAGTTTCTGTCCAATCAGAAGAAGAAACGACAGAACACAATCTATGTCAGTTCGATAGCTACTTGCCAAATGTGTGGTTCTCGGTACTAGGCGATGATAATTAATAGGCACAGAGCTATATGGAAGATGCAATCTCCAAAGATTAGATTTGTTGAAAATCATACGACTGAAGAATGTAATCTACGTAGAGATAAGAGGACTACAGTAGATCTGAAAATTGTACTGTGGCATGTCGCCACAATGTAATAAGAATCTATTGTACACAATTCGTAATGTATTCGCCTGGTATAGAGCATTTTAGTAGTCACCATAAATATTAGATGACGACTATATCGTCGAGGTCGATTCGGTCAATCGCGTATAGCGGTATAGCATCGACGTCATCGCGTTTTATGCATGTTCCGGTTTCGGTTTCAGCCGCGATAGGCAACCGGCCGCCAGCCGCCGACCCATTCGACGCCTGTTTATTTCAGTCGCCGATTTTTACTACAGCTCGATTCGTTTTTTGTTTGCCATAAGTTTGTTTAGTAGCGATCGGTGTACCGTACGCGAACCACGTGTCTCTAAACTATTTTAAACGGGAAAATGGGCGTGCATCGCTATATCACTACCATTTTGAGGAAAAAACTCTGTTTCAAATACCGGAGCTGGTGTTAGCTTCGGTGTCCCTTTAAAAGTGTTTGTGTGGATTTGAAAAAAAAGTGTTTTTGTTTTCGTGACTTTAACCCAGTGGCGTGCCAAGAAGCGATATGTCGACTGGAAATTTGTCTGATATTCGGCAACCGCGCTCGAGGAAAATCAGTCAAGTTAGTAGAGTACGTTTTTTTAATTGGATTTTGGAATTTATAGCCTCATTCAGAACCTCGCAATTAGTGGTTTCAATTAGAGTACAAGTTTGTTCCTTTAATTTCAATGTAAGCATTCAGAACATCAAAATTAGTGATAGACATTTTCAATTAGTGGAAAAAGTTATCAAACTTTTAGCTTTTCCACTAATTATACTTCAAAATTTGCGAGAAATGTCATTTTGGCCTTTGATTATTGTGCGTCAAGAGAAATTGTAGTTAGAAATCAAAAGTTGATTGTTTTATGAGCTGAATATTGAGTTTTCTCAATGAATACAACTAACTAATGCAAGCTGTTGCTAGGATATTATATTAATTTTAATGGTGTTTTTAGACATTGTGAATGATATGTAAACTAAATAGTATAAAAAATATAAAATAAAAATAAAATCTCTTAAAATATTAATTTTAAAAAAATTATACTTAAACGATTAAATTCTATGTAAAAAGGTGCTTTGGAAATGTTTTCATAGAAATACAAAATTTTCCATAGCAAAAAAGTTACAGCGATTTGTTCAAAATGTACATTTTTGAAAAACACCCCGTAACTCCGAAACTACCACCACTAATTTTGACGTTCTGAATGATTACATTGAAATTAGAGTTGAAACCACTAATTTAATCCACTAATGTCGAGGTTTTGATTGAAGCTTAAGCTTTTTTTGTGAATTCAAATGTGATAACTGGTTTTGGGTCTGGTCCACTTTAGGTACGTCAAAATTTTAAAATTTTCTATACAGAATTGGGAAGAGGAACACGTATAATGACATTTTCTAACAAAAAAAGTGCGGATCGTCCATAAATAACACCAAAAACAAACCCCCCAAAAAGAATGTTGTAACCAATGCAATCAAAACTCAGTTACGGCGGACATTTTTACCATTGTGATCCTCTTCTCAACCTTTAACACAGATCAAAATATAATATCTATTCTTATCAGCTTAATATCGCTACCGCTATTTTTTAAAATTAATAGAAAAGTATAAATAAAACAAAATTGCGATTTTCAATATTTCATTGTTACCGCCAGCGATATACGCAGACGCGAGCAAAATACAAATAAACCTAAATCTGCGTCTTCCTTGTCACTCTTATTAAACTTAACAAGGAAAGCTATATCCTAACCTCAAAAAATAAATAATTTTATTGCAGAAATCTCAAACATTGATCGACTATCCGTACGATCCGTGCTTAAAACGTTAAAACATTAATTGTAGAATATATTAATATCAAATTTACATCGATAACTTCAAGATTGACGACGTACCTAAAGTGGACCATCACCCTGGTTTTTATTGCATAAGCTAGGACAGAAAATATCGTGTCAAATTTATGTTTGTCCAAAAAATCAGTTATTATTTTTATAAATAAAACAAGATTTCGTAAGTTTTGAGACATATCCCTGTCTCCCTGTCTGTATATCATCACTATATTTTAAAAACTAAATGTGTATTAATGAAATCTTTATCGGATACAGTACGATAGAAAAAAAATGGTGTCATTGTGGCCATTAAATGACTATCAACGATAATTTTTATCGGGTCATTGGATTAAAATTGACATGAAAAACTTGTCAAAATTTAATTTTTAATAATATCTCATAGAAAAATATGTATCGACATATAACGTATGATCGAAAAAAAAACGGCGTCAAGTTACCTTATAAAATACTAAATCATTCACGTCGTTTTTATTTTAACTAGACGGTTTTTCCAACAATGAGACAAGAAGCAGATTTTTTTATTTCACTGATATTGAAATTGATAGGGTTTCTGTCTTGTATTAATTAACACTTTGGGCCATTGAACTTAATACTATGCATATATTTGGATATTATGTCCTTGACTATAACCAATATACATTGCAAAATGTTCAAATTTTACAATACTAGCATTATGTCAACGTACTAAAATTGTAATTCTGTCTTAAATATTTATTATTACGTTTATCCATCATAATGTCATTTTTCCATTCTTTTCCATATGTATTTTTAAAATAATTTTAATTAAATAGAACTAAAAAAAATTTTTTAACCTGACCTCATTCTTTTTGTAACGCTAAACGGTAATAATTATTGATGTTATAATAAATATCGATTTTAGACATAGAAAGTGCTTAAAAAACTTAAAGTTCAATAAATACTACCTTCATTTATGTTATATAATACAGGGTGTTCAGGATGTTTCATTAGAAATAATGAGAAGAAATACGGCAATTTTTGATTCACCCTGTACAGGGTGACTCAACGATAAAGTCCATTATCTCATTTGTTTCGACGTTTACAAAAAAATGTTGAATATAAAAATTATCGGGAAGGTTAAGATCACATTTTAAAATTATGATAGAGTATACAGGGTGCTTCAAAAAAGTGTGGCGGATATAACATATTTTTTTTTAAATGCTATAATTTTTTTATATAATGATATATACCTAAAATTAATAGTTTTCGTAATATTTCAATTTGTTTAAACAATGGTAAAAATTGTCAGTCAATTGTCAGTTGAAGAGTTTTGTAAAATCTGCCAGAAAAAATTTTGGCACACCAAAATGGCCCAACCTATACCGGGTGCGTCTCAAAAGTGGCTCACCCCTATAACTTTTTTTTCAGATAAAAAACGAGATTTGGTATGTTAGTACATATATGACATAAATTGGGATTGATTGACGTATTCAATTGTTTTCGGTCACTTCCTGGTTCACCGGAAATGACTACAACTTTTCATTTTTAAATGGCACCCTCGGTATTTTTTTTACTTTATTCGATAGAAAATGACACTCTGAATCGAATGACATATCATAATAATATGTCAACTTTTGACATATTTGCTCAAAAACAAATTGTATTTTAAATTTCAATTTAGAGTGCCATGGCTGTGTTCAAAACACTAATTTTTAATCAAGGAGCCTTGGAAAAATAGATTTGATAGTCTAATGTTTTTAGTGTCTTGTCCTGACCGGTTAAAAGGTCCCCAAATCGTATTTTTAATCATATCTCAATTTTTTTCAAATAGAACGAGGGTGGCTCATTAGCATATTTGGAAAAAACATTTTTTTACGAATAATTTGATACCACACACTTATTTCGAGTCAAATTGTCGTTCTGAACCGCGGGTTACAATTTCAAATAAATAACCGTATGCTAAAAATTTTTTAACGGCAAAATTATCATCGAGCGTATAGTATCATTTGTTTAGAACATTTGGGCACCCTGTGTTTTGTTTGAATATGATTGTGCAGTGGACTGTTGATTTTTGTGTGTATGTTGTGGATTGAAAGGAAGTTGTAACTTCTATGAAACTTTATTTGCTATGTGTGATTTACAAGAATGTGTGTACATTTCTTTTTTTGAACATGGCTGCTATGTCATTCTCTACGTCACCAATATGGCGCGCTTTAGGCGCTAAATTCAAATTCTCTATTAAGTAACAAACACCCTGTATGTATACACATAAAGAAAGACAGCAAATATTAGTAATTGGGTCAATTTATAGCTGTCCTGAGTCATAGGGCATTTTCGTATGCCAATGAACTCGGGACAAAGGAACATAAAGACAATATTCCCTGAATCAAGTTGGCTTCGCAAACCTTTGATGAAACCTTTTTAATAATCGTTCATTCCTAATTGAACTTTCTGAACGTTCTGTGTATATTTAGAATGTTTCAATGAAAAGCTAAATTTTATTTGTATGTAATTAAATTTCGGTATCTTATCTGAAGCTTTTTATCATAAAAATGTTATTTTGATAGGTTAAAGTGTTTTAGTGGGAATAATATTCAGAATAATACATTATTGCTGGTTGCCTATGTTGATTTATTGTATGATAATAAGTAATGCATTTTTTCAGTAGCTGCTCGCGGTTATTATTGTAGGGAGGTCAATATCTAAAAACATTTCGTCGATTTTTTTTAAGACGCGACCTAATTTAATTGGTTTCTTACAAGGTACTTGTATATACGTTTAGTTAAAGAAAAATAAATAAATTATGTTAAAATGAAATCTACCCTTACATTTTTAAACAGGTGGTCTAGTGCCATTTCACTAAAAATCCAGTCACTGTTCTTTACACAAATTTTCCACTGTAGGATTTAAAAGACACTTAAATAATAATGTCACAAAAATATAAATACATATACAGGGTGCTACAAATTCGAGGTACGAGCATTGGTATCTCGGTAACCGTAATAGATACGAACATGGTTAAATTGGGGCAAAGTTGCGCTTTGGGATGTTCACCAAGATGCCATCAAAAAAGTTTTAGACATTTCAAGGATTGCTGAGTTTCTTGGAAAAAACGGATTTTTTTGAAAATCAATTTTATTTTTTCCTGTCGTTACTTTTAAGAAAAATCAAAATACTAATTGCACATTCTCATAGCCACTTTATGAGGGCTATCTGATAGTATTTTTAGATTTTCAAATTATCTGATAATTTGTGAGATACAGAGGCCAACTTAATTTTTTTAAATACGAACCTGCATTTTTTATTTCAGATTTTGAAAGAACTCGGTCTCCTGAGTACAATGATATGCCACACTTTATTTTTTTTTGTTTCAGACATTTGAACACAATTTATTTAAACTAATTTCAAGTCCGGCTCTGTTTTTTTTTTAAATATTTAATCTATTCATCGTTAAAATATCGATAAGCTTTCAAACTTAAAAATGATGTGGGGTAAAACATTGAATATTGAAAATCAAATGCAATAAAATAATAAAAATTAATATACAAATGAATACATTACTTCACGTCATTTGTAAAAGTGAAATCAATACATCTCAATATTTACAATAAAGAGTACGAAATGCTTTCGGAAGTACAAGAAGAAAGTTCAAAGAGGTATAAATAAAATTGAACGAAAAATAAATTTGTGCAATAGGGAGAATAGGGAAATAATATCTTTAAATTGCTGACCTGGATATAATTTATTTGAATCTTCCAATTGGCTCGATTTTTATTATTCAATGCTAATT